CTACACGACGCTCTTCCGATCTCCCCAAAACCCCAAAACCCCATGTAAAAGTTATAGAGTAAATTAAACAATAGCAAAATCAATAAATAAATAAATCAAAATTCTCCTAAAATAGAATTAAAAGATTCTTCAACCTTTGAATTACAATTAGCTTTTAAATCATTTTCTCGTTCAATTAAAAATTATTCCTCAAATAATCTCTTCTTATCGCTTTAAAATTTTTTTTCAAGTTATTTTATTGTTGTTTTAGTTTCTTTAAATAGTGAGAGGGTCTATTCATATTCCTATTTCTTTCCTTCATTAATTAATTATATGACCTAGGCAATATTTTATCTTTCTCCCTCCTCCCATTGAAATGATCCAGAAATATGTCCGGCCTTGTCAACAAAATTAAATCCTAGGCTAGGAATCTAATTTAAATCCAAGCTTTCAATTCCAAAATCCAAATAACCAGGTATAGCACTAAGTTTAAAGTTTCTGGATACTTCCTCGATATCAAATCTAGAGAATTTGGTGGGGAGTTCCAATGGTAGAGTAGTAAGTTGTCTAAAGAATTTTTCCACTAGATTGTTTACTAATCCTTTCACTATAATCTGCTCTTCTTCAATATCTAAATCGAATGTATTAATAAAAAATGATGAAGTACGTTCAGATGGTGATTTTGGATTAACTATCATAATTTTTTAAACCCCAGCTGGTAATCCATTGATTTAAAATTTGAATGGCTGTCCTTCAAGGTAGCATCTTCTGAATTCATCCCAACCATTTTAGCTGTTTTTTACATTAATATCAAAGATGAGAGGAATGCTTAGTTCAATGTGATCTTGATTGAATTCAGCTTTAAAATTTGCTATAGCATTATCTACCCAATTTTAGAAAGCATCTATAGGATTCAAGATGATATTGACTTTCTAGTTCTTATCATAAAGTGTTTCTAATTTAGGGAAAATACTAGAAAGCCAAAATACATTCATCGAATTTATCTCTGGGAATAATAAATTATGATATCTAAGTTGGTGTAGAAAATCAAAATTTTTCTCCCTTGATAAAAAAGTTGTAAACATTTTCTTTAAACATTGATCATTCAATGTAATTCCAAAATATCTGGAAGGACTAAGTTAAGGAGCGTCTTAATAAAAGTTTATATCTGTTAAGTTTGTCTAATTTTGTCCTCTCCTTAATAGATTAGAGCAGTGTACATAAAAAATCGATTAGCCATTAGTGTAGAAATAATCTGAGTTTCTTACAAAGAGATATATAGCCAGATGTGATCCGTACATCTATTCGGAAGATCCCCACATGTTGTTATTTGTCCAATCAGTGAACATTATCGCTAATCTAGATACAATAGCAGTCACATCTCTTCGTAGAATATCATTCTCAATACCAAAAATCTTAACATCGCTTTACAAATGATACTTATAACCTGCCCAAGGTTGAGATGGCTCAAGCTTTTAGACAACGACTGCAGTGAATTTCTCTTAAGATGCTGAACCTTCGATTGTAAACTTTACAGCCTTTTGTTTAGATTCTTGGGGATCTTCAATTTACAATGTCTAGTAATCAAGGGATATTGAGTTATCTTGACGGTTTTACTACCTCAATTTTTCATTTATACGCTCTTAGAAAAATCCATAGTCTTTCTGTAGCCTCTATACAATGTTTTCTTTGCTGATTTCTATTCTAACAGACTAGAGAATACCCAATAATCCAGTGAATATGCAAAGTAAGAAATGATTTCTCATTATGTAGTAAATTTATATTAAATAATAAAATATGTACTCTTAGAATTTACAAAAATTTTTGAGTATGGGGTTTTGGGGTTTTGGGG